AGCGAGTGACGAAACGACCGTCAACCCGCCGGCCGGTATTGTTCTGGTAGAACAACTCACACTCACGGTCCAGAGGGTCGACTCGAGCGGCATGTGGTGGTTCCTCAATTTCCCAGAACCGCTGGACGGCGTCCGATAGAGACACGCCCACGACGGAGAGCGGGTCGGCCGTCGGAGGGGGAGGAGACCACATAACCGGTCCAAAAAAGCTGTGCCCAAATATCGTGGAAATGGCTGACAGGCCATCGGGCTGCAGAGCTCGTATCTCACCTAACAAGAGGACACCCAGCGTGTCGGCCCCCAGTAACAAATCTATAGGCCCAGGTTGGGCCCACCGAGGGTCTGCCGGTCTCAAAGCCGACGCACAGCGTACAGCGCTGTCATTTATACGAACGTTAGGGAGGAACCCTACAATGTCGTCGAGGACATTCACCTTGACTAAAATACGAAGGTGTTCGCTGTCAGGGCTGAACACCAATTCCGCTTGTCCCCTAGGAGCAGGAGGCTCGGCACCTCCGATACCTACCATCGGACGTGATTCAGGGCTCCAGGGGAGCCCCAGTCTTCCCACCAACCGAGTAGAGGCCACACTACGTTGGGAACCCGAATCCAATAGAGCTCGAACCGTTAAGCGGTCGCCGCTCGGGTTGTAAACCTTCACTGAGGCCGTCGGCAATAGAACAGTTTGACAGGTGGACTGCTGACGACTTATAGGCTCAGTGGAGTCGGCCATGGCGGGAGCTAGGGCGGCAGCCTCCTATCTGGAGCTGCCTCTGTGGGACCGGCACCCGAACCGGGGCCCCCGAGAGCGGCACTCAGACGGCGCCTCGATGACCCTGGACTGGAATTCCCCAAACGGGCCGACCTGGGGAAACTCGGGGATCCTCGGCTCCAAGGTCCGGGGCCGATACGCCGTCTCCGGAACCCGGTAGTACCGGCACCGACCAAAGGGGGGCGGGCGGCGTTCCAGTCGCGGCCACTCAGCCAACGGGGGTGAGAACGGTCTCGCTGACCGCTGAGTGGCCGCGAATCCACTATCAACTCGCTGAGGGGAGGTGAAGACCCCCCCGCCCCTGGGGGGACGACTCCCAGACCGATCGGGGGAGGGACTCCCCTCAGAACGAGGGGCGCTGTGGTCCACCGGTGAGCGCCGGGCGTCGCCCGACAGTGGGTGTGGCTGGGCGCCCCCGCCCGTGGGAGTCGGGGGGCTGGCAGGGCCCTGAGAGGACGAGCCGCGCGCACCCAGGCACAATATAACGTTGTGGTTGCCCTGGCAGTGCGTGCAGGGCCGCTGGTGCGGGCAGTCTCGTTGTAAATGCCTCTCCAGGCAAGAGAAGCACCAGCGGCGCTCCCTGGCGATGGTTCGCCTCGCCGTAGCCGGCTTGCGCAACAAATTCGGGCACGACGCCGCCCGGTGGTCGGATGCTCGACAATAGGAGCAGGGAGGCGCCTCCCGGGCCGCTAGGCCACTATAGGAGGGTACTGGGGGGCGCCCTCCCGCGGGGGCTCCGCTCGGCCTCAGGGGAGTGGGCGTCGCCTTGCCCGGCTGATTCCGCCTCTCCCTGGGCACCGCTCGGGAGGCGGCCGGGGGGCCCTCGACGGCGCCTGCGGCGTTCTCCAGCTGCCTACACTGTTCCTCCAGGAACCGCAGCAGGTCCCTAAAGGGGGGCATGTACGAAGCGCCATCCCCGCCGTACCTCTCCTCAAAATGGAGCCGAAGGTCGAGGGGCAGGCGGGACAGCACTATATGAAGGAGCAGAAAAGACCACTCGTCCACAGGTAAATCCAGCCGCCGCAACGAGTTGCACGCTACGACGACTGGATTCACTATGTCCTCACGTAGTCTAGTCCGGTCCTTCAGCAGCGGGAGGTTCAGCAGCCTCCGAACATGATCGTCCGCAATTCGCCGGACGTTGGCGTACCTTCCAGCGAGGAGATCCCTGGCGTTTTGGTAGGCGTCGTCCGACAACTTAAGGTGGCCGACGACGCCCAGGGCCTCCCCCTCCAGGGATGCCAGGAGGTACCCCATTTTTTGGCAGGGGGTCAGGTCCCTCCGGGCGTCCACCAGGCTGTCAAACATGCCGACGAAGGTCTGCCACTCCGAGAGGACCCCGGAGAACCTTGGCAGGTCCAGCGTGGGGAGTCGTCCTAGCAGCTCTGGCTGAGTAGGCGGCTTCCGCGGGGACTCGAGAAGGCTGCTCAGCCGAGCTTCGCGCTCCCTCTCCGCGTCCTTGGCCCCCGCCTCGATCAGGTCGTCCGTTAGCGCGAGGAACTGCTCGTAGTCCGCGCGGCAGGAGTCCAGGACTCCCTTCTCCACCTCCGAGTCCTCGAGCTCAGAGTAAGCCTCCTCCACGGCAGCCCTTCGAGCATCGACCTGCTCGAGCCTCTTCCTCAGATTATAGACCCTGTCCGGTCGGCCTATCAATGCGTGTGCGCTGGTGGCCCAGCGCAGCTCAGTCCGCAAGCAACGAATTAGTAGCTTATGTGACGGCATACTAAATACAATACAATAACGAATACTAATAACAAAATAAAGAAATAACGAATACAGTACTACTAATACGATAATATCAATCAACTACAAGTAAATACGAAAAAACACAAATCAGATTAGCACGTAACAACTCTAGTACGGTCCAATCAAGTTAAATTCAAATTGCGCAAATACAATTACTGCTCTTTAGTTCAATTACAATTACAGTATAAACGAAGATACTTCGAAATTCAGAAATCGATAAGTAATCCACTACAACTATCCGACAACGATAATTAACCGATTACGTAAAAATAACCATCTACCTACATGACGTGTATCTCTAGAAAAATCCCGCTTGCGCAACCTAGGGCGCGGTTTTTTCAAACTACCTACTAACCAAAACAAAGGGCAAGCAACCACGGGAAATAATTCTATTCTTACGTACAAAAAAAAATATTTTTACGTATTACGGACGGACGTGATTGTAGATACAAATTAAACCAACGCTCCCTGCCACCAGAAATCAACACTATGGTCGGAATCGACCGGGAATCGAACCCGGAACCGCGTTCTGCTACCAGTTTGTTACGGCCTACGGCTGCTCCCTTAAAGGATCAGACCATCAGGGGCCCATGAGCTGAAGGCCTCCCGAGCAGACGTAGGTCGGGCTCAATGTGGCCACGTGGAAATTTTCTGGTGGGAGACAAACGAGGGGAATGTTACCACGATAAATGCACTCACCTGCTCCAGGAGCGGAGACGATTCTCCGAGACCGGCCCGGCTGATGGTAGTGTTGTGAGTGTAGGTGTAATTGTATGTGTGTGTATGTTGACGGGCCCTGATCTGGATGCCGCAATGCCGTCCGGGAGAAGGTATGCGCTGGTATCTTCGGAGCGTTCCCCCTCTGGAGGCGCTCTTCCTGGCTTGTCACGAAATGGGACAGCTACACTTAGCACTTCAGAGGTAAATCACTTGTAAGGTTGCACAATGAATTTAAAGTAGTTATTAGTTCCTGATTAAAGATAAGGATCTCGCAACGATCTACACGGTGGCTACCTTCGTAACAAGTTAAGCGCGGAAAAACGTCAGTCTAGTTCGCAAGAAAAACTACACTAACTCTCGAAAGTCCTATCCCGCCGCATAAGGCGGCCGGGGGGAAAGGGGAGCGGGAGGTGACCTCGATATCGAGGCCAAGCGCGCGAGTTAAATACGTTTCGAAGGCAAAATGAATATTCTTGCCTATACATCACTAATCTGTAATTTTAAGTAACTAAGTTGTCCTTTTTAGTTTATATTTTAGGTTAAAATATTGTTATAAGTACACCCTATCCATAAATAAGCAAATTTAAAGACGTTTTCACATCAATATTATAGTATATAACAGATTCATAATCAAAGTACTACTTGCCGAATGAAAAACCTTAGATGGTTCGTCTTAGATCTTTAATAGCAAGCATTTAGTCAAAAAAACAATAATAAAAAAATCCTCTAAAATAAAAACGAAAATATTGTGTAATATAAATTGTATAAGGATTTAAGAGGATTTCTGATAAAACGAAGCGACGTCCTTCGAAGGCATCGATATTTTCGATTCACTGAAGAACAAAATTTAAATAACGGGAAAAAATTGCACGAAATTCAAGATTTGATGACGTCGAACTCGAACGGCTACGACGTGAGGCTATTCCTTTGTCGAATGAAAATGCCACGACAGGAGATGCGGCTCTACGAGTTGCAGAGCAACCCGCACATGTAGATGCCGCCGTAGATCTCCTTGTAGTTGACTCAGGCGACGATGGAATAGTCGCCCCAGAACAAGAGCAAATGAGGAGCATAGTGGAAGAGGCGATTAAGGAAACGCGCAGTACGCCTCTCGAGAATCGACCGCGACTTCCCCGTATACCCCTAAGCGAGCGGAATCGGGGAGTCGTGAGGGCTCTCAACCCAATGCTGGTGACCTATTTGGAAGCCAGCCGGGAGCTTTGCGAGACGGACTCAATTCTTTTTGGCGCCGCACTGGCAGTTTGCCGTATTATTAGCGCCAAACTTCCCAAGGCTCGACGCGCTACTAGACAAAGTAGCGCCATCCCAGCCTGGAGAAGAAGGATTGAGGACCGTATCGCAAAGGCAAGGGCCCTCATCGGCAGGCTGATAAGCTTCAGGTCGGGCAATAATAGGCCGAGAATTGTGCGCACCGTCAGGATGGCGTTTGCTGGGACAAACATCAGTTTGTCCCAGCCGGATATAACCCAAAAAAACCTGAAGCAGAGAATCGCTGCCTGGGGTGAAGCGGATTCGGTGATATACCGAGAGGTCGACACGGTTCAACCAGAATCGTCTCTTCCAGAGTGATCAGAAGAGGCTCTATGAATCATTGGAGCGACCAATGGTACGTGGAACAGGCCCAGCACCGAATCAGACCGACATTATCGCATTCTGGCGCGGCCTGTGGTCAGAGCCCGTAAACCACAGCGAGGGCCCTTGGACGGAAGTTGTGGCGAGTCAGTGTGCGAATGTTACGCCCATGGACCCCGTCATCAATACGCCGGATGACGTAGCTGAGGCGGTCCGTAGGGCCCCGAACTGGAAAAGTCCGGGACTCGACGAACTGCATCACTACTGGCTGAAGGGGTTCGTGGTGTGTTACGCTGTTCTCGCCCGACAGTTTCAAGAGGCTCTCGACCAAAAGTCGCTCCCGAGCCTCTTCACTACTGGGATCACTCATTTGGTTCCTAAAGACCGGGATTCCACAGACCCGAGCAAATACCGCCCCATAACGTGTCTACCTACCATATACAAGACACTAACATCCATTTTGAGCGCGAGAATCACTCGTCACCTGAACTCAAATCAGGTGATGTCGCGCGCTCAAAATGGATGTCGGGGCGGCGGTCGTGGAACCAAGGAACCACTCCTCATTGACGCGGTCATTGGCAAGGTGGTTAAACGCAACCGTCGGAACCTCTCCGCCGCCTGGATAGACTACAAAAAGGCATTCGACTCGGTGCCTCATACATGGCTGAAGAGGGTCCTCGAGCTGTACAAGGTGTAGTGTTATGCTACTTACATATCATTTTACATTATTTTAAATTCATTTTTCCATTCTGTTAAGATTTTCTGCATTCACCTCAAAACTGGATATTTTACATCACCTTTATTTCCATAGGATCCTGTAACGATTTTAAACCATAAGAACACAATAACAAATCATTTCTACTTCGTATTTTCACATTATCAGCACTTTTAAATTGGTGTCAATGGAGTCTACCTTTTTTCGATCTTTTAGCTCGTTTTCCGTAACTCTACAATCTTGGGCTTTGTGTGGGCAGCTGCGCTACCTTTTTTCCTATATCAATAATATCTCATTTTCCACTTAAATCTTACCGTTTTCTTATTATAAACCTAAAACCAAAATTTGACATGTTTTGATATTGTTATTTATTTCGTTGCTATAGTAATTATATTCAAATTTGCTACCGATCTGTTGTTCCTATTTCGATAATTCCACATAAATACTTTTTTCTCTTGACCATTTACAAAAAATTTGCGTTTAATTTAAATAATTTTTCCGTTCTCTCTAGAAAGGTATAAAAGCCGAACAATCGGTGAAGAAGGGCAGTCTTGCTTCAGTTCGCGAATTGGAAGTATCTCCTAAAGGCCTTATCCCGGGGCCGCACTGCCCCGGGATCCTGCAAGCCTCCACCTACACGTGAAGTCTTCGGCGAAGCCTTCTTCAAACGCGGAGCCGCACCACTCCGGATTCCTACAAGCCTCCATCTACCTCGGAAGTCGCTTCGAGACTACTACAAGCGCGGGGGCCACACTACTCCGGGCGCTACGACTACTTACTCCAGGCGCCGAGTGCACCTACCGCCGGCGCTACCTTTGGGCGCTGCAACTGCTGGCTCTAAGCGTTGAGCGCACCTACTCCAGGCGCTACGTGCGCCGGCTCCGGACGCTGCGTGTGCTGGCTCCAGGCGTTGCGTGCCGTCGCTACTAAGAAACCTACCTCTACAAGCGCAACCGGCGTGTGCTGGCTTCAGGCGCTGCGTGCCGTCGCTGCTAAGAAACCTACCTCTACAAACGCAACGTGTGTCGCTTCGACTTTTAGGCCCCACTATAACACTGTATTCCCCTATTCTCTTACCTTTATTTTTTTTGTAATCTAATTGTACTCTCACTTCATCCATCATTATCCTCATTTCATTTTTTTTTATAAAATTGTAAATACCTTTTAAAAATTTAAATATATTGTTTTCTGGCTCTACTTTTGTTGTTTTGTTGTACTTAGGTTAGGTTCTATTTCTAATTTTTTTTTAATTGTCGCTTCACGACAAAGGTTGACTGTACAGTTCGAGACTTCCTCGGGCAGTGTATGGGGCAGTGGAGTACGATCCTTTGTCATCTAGGCGAGCGGATGACGGCTGCGGAGAACCACATAAGGATAAGAAGGGGTATCTTCCAGGGCGATTGTCTGAGTCCAATCTGGTTCTGCCTCTCTCTGAACCCTCTTAGTACCTTACTGGAGGGTTCCGGGAGGGGATTTCAGCATCGGAGAAGAGGCACAAAAGTGACCCCCCTTTTCTATATGGATGATCTCAAGTTATTCGCCTCCAGTCGCTCTCATCTTATGGAATTGCTAAACATCACTTGTGATTTTAGCAATTCTATTAGAATGGGGCTGGGGACGGATAAGTGTGCGGTCCTCCATGTCGAAAGGGGTAGGGTTGCTAACTCTGAGGGCATAGACTTATCTATGCCCATCAACATAAAGACCCTATCCGAGGCTGAAACATACCGATACCTGGGTATGTCACAGAACATAGGTATCGATGAGGCGGACATGAAACGGTCAGTTTGCGGTGTGTTTTATGCACGCTTGACAAAAGTGCTTAACAGTCTTTTGTCGGGTGTTAATAAGACACATGCATATAACGGTTGGATCATGCCTGTTCTCATGTATACCTTTGGCATGCTCAGGTGGACTCAGACCGAACTGAACGCTCTGGACAGAAAAGTCCGCACTATAATGACGTCCCACAGGATGCATCATCTGAGATCGTCAGTAATGAGGCTGTACTTGCCCCGGAAGCATGATGGGCGCGGCTTTTTAAGCGTGCTTACCATGCATAATCGCGAAGTGTGCAGCCTCCGTAATTACTTTCTGACAAGAGAGGATGATCCATTCTATAGGGACGTTATTTCTTGTGATAAAGGACTTACCCCTCTATCCTTAGCCAACGAGCAATGGCAAGAGCCGGCAGTACAGAGCATTTCCGACCGGGAGACCGTATGGAAGGAGAAGGAGCTCCACGGGAGGTTCTACAAGGCTCTACATGAGCCTTGCGTAGACACAGTCGCCTCCCTCCACTGGCTACGTTTCGGTGACCTCTTTGGGGAAACCGAGGGTTTTGTCTGTGCGATACAGGATCAGGTTATTAAGACCAACAATTATCGGAAATACATCCTAAAGGTTGGCGCCGTCGACATCTGTCGAGCTTGTCGCCATCCCGGTGAGTCACTTAGGCATGTCATCTCCGGTTGTTCGGCGCTTTCTAACTCTGAGTATTTGCACACACACAACCTAGTAGCCAGGATTCTACACCAGGAGCTCGCTCTGAAATACGGTCTCGTGGATCGGAAACTGCCGTATTATAAGTACTTGCCGGAAGCCGTGCTCGAAAATGACCGCGCCAGGCTCTACTGGGACCGGGTCATCATCACGGACAGGACTATTCTTGCGAATAAGCCTGATATTGTGCTGATGGACCGGGCACAGTCAAGGATATTTTTGGTCGACATTACCATTCCTTGTGACGAGAACCTCGTGAAAGCCGAAACAGATAAGTTGACAAAATATCTGGACCTGGCTCACGAGGTGACCGACACGTGGGGTGGTCTGCCGGCCGAAATTATTCCTGTGGTCGTTTCTGCGAACGTGTTAATCCCAGTTAGCCTCTCGGGTCATCTGAGGCGACTGGGACTCCGTGACGGACCGCTCCAAGCTCAAATGCAGAAGGCGGTGCTCTTCGATACCGCCCGCATCGTACGCCGGTTTCTTTCCCTCTCCCCCTAACCCTCGGCCGTTTGGTCTCCCCTGCCGAGGGCTTCCATCTGCTTGGGTTTTTTATATATTTATGTATTTTTTTTGTATTTATTTTATTTTATTGATATTTATGTAAGTTTATCATTTTCATTTACAATTATATATTTATACAGCCCAGCCAGATAAGAAAACTATACAAATACCCCATAATAATAATAATAATTTATTGATCCCAAAAACACTTTACATAAAACAAAACCTTTATAATTAAGACTTAATCCAACTCAATACTATAATTATGGTATCTTTAGCAACTGTGCTAGGTCACAGACCTGTGTTACAGCTGCTAAGCTCTCCCCTTTTTATACATTCGAAATAGAATAACAAAATCATAAAAAACACATTTTATACGACGATTCATAAACGATGTAAAGGAGATAAGGTGGGTAGACGTAAGTAAAAAATCCGACACATGGTTCAATAAAATTATGGCTATATGTACTAAAAGATTAGTTGTGTGGTACAAGAGCAAGGCAGAAGCGATATGTTATAAATATATCACACACTTATTGATATTCAATTATTATAGCAAACTTTTACAAGAACTTATTCTAAATTCCACATAAAAATAATTGTTTCAACTAGTGAGTAGTGACTCAAATAATATTACATTTCCTTAAAAAAAAACAAAAGTGTAATAAGTAAAATGTTTTATAGTATGTAATAATTTATTAATCCTAACCAATATTATAAGCTTAAACATGCGAGTGTGTAGTAAATAAGCGTGTGTGTTTGTGAGTGTGTAATTACGTGTGTGTGTATATGTGTGTATGTGTATGTACGTGTGAGAAAGAAAGAGTGAGTGTGTGATATACGAGTATGCATAGTTTTAAGGTGATTTTATTTGAACACATAGCTACTATTAAATAACAAATGTTTTAATAAAATTATTAGTATAGTTGGCGTCTATACTACTTAAATTATAATTAATTAAATTCATTATTATGATGGGGTATCTATAAAGTTTTCTCATCTGGTTGGGCAGTATAAATATATAATAATTAAATTCATTATTATTATTATTATAATTATATAAGTCTTATAACAGCCAAATTTATCAACCATGATAATTACACAGAAAAATACATTCACACAAAAAAGGTGAATTTATCCAGGGCTGTAAATAAACTATCGAAATCGAATGACACTAAAATAGTATACAAAATATATCGATGAGCTTTAGACAAAATGGACCATCATATCATATCATATAAGAACAATAAAATAAATTGGATAGAGCGAGCATGAGCCGACTCAAAATATCTGTTGTGTTTAGTGATACTATGAGTTACAAACAGTTTTACACAAGAATATTCGAAATGAAGTGCGCAGCAATTTAGGTTTGATAGAAGAAAGTGGTTATAACTTGCGGCGTTCTATTTAAATTTAATAATTGCTTAAACATTTCTGATTTTTTGTTTTATTTGTATGATTTAAAAAATATTTGAAGAACTACTCTAATGGTGCCAGTAGTAGACTTGTCAAATTGTATGAGCTTACACTTTTAAGTTAAATTAAATGCATGTGTCTTCCGTTCTCTATACAATAAAGACGAATCTATAAAAGTTTTTATAAGTTTTTCTACGACATAAATAGGCTATTAAAAAATAAGATCAAACTTCAAAAGAAGTAAGTAGTTTCTCAATTAGACTGTACTTTTTTTTTATTTCATATTCATATAATGTATGTTACGTCATACCTTCATCAATTGTAACCCTATTTTGATAATTCTTTTTTACTTTTTTGGGTTCGTCTCATATAAATTTGGAGGAAAACACGTCACCACTACGGATAGCATACTAGGTGACGAATTTTTTAATGTTACTTTTTGGACAACATTCTAGTTGTTACTTTGAGCTTGTGATATATTTTACTTTACTCGAAAGGGTCAAAAATGAACGGTTAATAATAGGAAAGTAAAACTGACATCAAAGAACTATCAAGAT